AACCTCGACCAGGTCTGAAACCAGCCTGGTTCTCACGCGTACACCGTTCACGTGCGGCAGACAATCGACGGCGTATGATACCGGCGAGAAGTTTAGAGGCAATATTGATTAAACTAATTCCTCTGCAGTTTTCACAAGAGTATCTGTCACCTTTCTTGTAAATCGGTATGATCACCGATTCACACCATTGTCTTGTGCAAATCACAAGGAATTAGTTTAGTCTCTAAGCTTCTCACAAACACTCTGTTGGTTGTCTTTCATACATGAAAGGTGCACGCGTAAGATTCTGGCTGGTTTTAATCTACTCAAGATGGCATGCATAATATTTTCACTGTTCGCCAAATTCTGTAACACAAATAATTCTTTCGTAGATCTGCAATTTCGGCTTCGATTCAGTCAACTGCTACAGACTGACTCAATCTACTCCTTAATGGTCTACCCTGGAAGTTCATTTCAGTGTTGCGACACGTTTGTACTATTTGTCGAATCCGAGTTTGAGCCTTTGGCACATTTTTACTTGACTTGAGGAGAGGAAGTTTTGTTCGTCAGGATTGCTCTCTTTTTCTATTCAATCTCTTATGGCTATGTTTCCGGAATCAGTAATGTCCTCAGGTGACGACGATGACATCTTTATGCTGTCACTTGCCGAGCTATCTAATCCATAGTATACAGATGACATTTTATTGTTGAGTGAAGATCCAAACGTGTTAAGAGTTTATTTGGATGATTCAAATGGTAGCATCGTCTTGTACAATGTAGTTTCTCACCTTCGAGACGTAAAATGTTACTACAAGGCGAGTTTGTTCCTGCTGTGTATCTCGCTATACCTGGGGAAGCATTAGAGGCGGTAAACAAATTTTGTTACTTAGTCATTTGCATCTCATAATTCTGGCGCCGTCATGGTATTCGGCTGTCTCCGAAGGGTCGCATGTGTGCTGCATGAGTTCGACCATTTCTGCTGTAAAACAGTCGCTACGAATACTGAATAACGGTAGACTCGTTGTTCAAACACCGCTGTCTGCGTCGGAATACAGGAGTTTTGTGGATAGACCGGACAAGCAATGATGAGGTTAGGCGCAGATATTTAGATCATCCCGGTCGCCCATTACAGCAATTGGTTGACCTCCATGGATTACATTGTCTGGGGCGTGTCAAGCATATCACAAAATAAGCTGCCGCGGTGCGCTATATTTGCTGAGTCACGTAATTCGTGGAAGAACTTAAAAATTAGACAAACAAAGACCTGACCTGAGGTCTCTGATCAGGAGACTTACTTCTTGTATGGGGACTTCGGGACCAACGTGACCGATGATTAGAGACATTGAGTAATATGCCGGTGTCGTGCATGCGCTCAGTGTCCTTGCAGAAGTCTGCCTGAATTCTTTATTTTCAGGTTGACACTGCTTTGACCATTCCAGTCTTCCAGGTACTGGTACATCCAATTGAGCAACTAAAACCACCACTCGGAAGTGCATGGCTAATAGTTGTATAAACTTCATATTTTAACATCTCTTATTTTCATTTCCTACTTTTCCACAGACTACCCATTCGTTGCAAGGCACTTTCTTGCCATGTCCAAAGAATACACCAAACCCGACCCTTTCCGTATCAAGGCAGAAATCAAGGGTAAAAAACAGAAGCGGGCTCAAGGGTCATCCCATTATCGACCAAAGGCACCAACTGAGTTGACATTGCTTCCCTATTTTAAAGGTGCGTCTCATGATTGACTGATAAACGCAACTTTCAGATGTGCCCGCCGCCGAACAACCGGAATTGTTTTTAAAGAAAATTCAGCAATGCTGCGTCGTTTTTAACTTCAACGATCCCACCTCAGATATGCCCAGCAAAGAACTAAAACGCCGATTCCTCACCGAACTGGTTGAATATGTATCGGTTCCTCGAAACGCCTTGCACGAATCCACATACCAACCAATCATTCAAATGGTGGGTCAAATTCAACCCCCTCGCATTTATGCTCCCCTTTTCTCACATCAGATTGCATGCAATATATTCCGACCGTTACCTCCGACCGATACCTCAGACTTTGACCCGGAAGAAGATGATCCAGTCCTAGAGGTTGCATGGCCCCACCTGATGGTATACTATCCTCCTGTATTATAACATGATCTGTTATTCTTTGTTCAGCATGTCTACGAATTTTTTCTTCGCGTGTTAGAATCGTCCGATTTCCAGCCCAGTGTGGCCAAAAAATACATCGATCAGAGGTTTGTCTTACAGGTAAGTGATTAGTGATATGATTGAAATGATCAATCCATTTTCTCCTAAGCTTTTAGAATTGTTCGACAGCGAAGATCCGCGTGAACGTGAACTCCTCAAGACAGTGGTTCATCGGATTTACGGGAAGTTTCTGGGCTTGCGATCTTTCATTCGGAAACAAATAAATAATATTTTCCTCCGGTATGTTTTTCCGTCGTTTTGATCAGTAGATTGTTTCGTTTAGGTTCATCTATGAAACGGAACAGTTCAACGGTGTGGGTGAACTGTTGGAGATCTTGGGTAGTATCATAAATGGATTTGCACTCCCGCTTAAGAGCGAGCACACACGTTTCTTGGCCAAAGTTTTGATTCCGCTTCACAAGGCCAAATCCCTGGTTCTGTTTCACCCACAGGTACGTTTCTCACCCCATTCTTATGCTATTTGTTTCTCAATCACAACTTATTCTGGCGAACTGATGAAATTATTTATCCAGTAGTCATACAAACCTACTTTTCAGCTATGAAAGTCAGTATCCTAATCCTTGAAATTTCAATCCGCTTTAGCGCAACATTCGTCCCCTTGAAGGGATTTATACCCATGGCAGGCAAGCCTTAAAACAGGTTATCGTCGCCCATCCACATCTCCACGATAATCTGGTCTTCATTATCCCATTGATATCCTGATTATTGGAATTGTTCAGAATAGCTCCCTTCAATGGCTTGCGGAGTTATATATGAATTTTTGTATACCGATAAGTTTAGTTGATTCCTGTTCGACATTGTCGTTCTGTGAACAATTAGTCTCTTATCATGCTTGCGCTTCACTCTCTCATGTGACTGGGGACTACATCTTCTTCCATGAGTTGGTTAGTATTCTCGCTCAAACTGTTCTCATTGAACCTGACATTACTTTTTTGTTGCCAACCCTATGTACCCCTAGCTGAAATGTCAAGCTTTCTCTGTGCTACCATCCGACGAGATCTCACCGTGAACCGTAATGGTTAAACTGCCAAGTTAAGAAAAGTAAATAACTAAACCACTGCAGCACCTTGTGTTCTTAGTTGCATATGCTCATTTCGTCCTAATGCTATTCCAACGTGCGGGGGACCGTTGCCCTCAGTCGATAGCATCCTCGTCATGCACCACCTTTGTGGCTTTCCAGTTTGCACTCCCGTTCACTTAACTCGGCCTTCCGGGCTGAACATGTGCGAGCCTGTTTACAGGCAGAAATGGACTGTAAATCGATTGTCCATCGGGCAATGTCCGCGCTTGCTTGTCCGTCGGGTTCGGGTCGATCTACCGCGCACCCATACACTGAACAGCGACACCAACGCGTGCGTCAAGATCGCAACTGCCCAGAATGATGTCAACGGGGCGTGTCTGGGTGGATAGGCGAACACAGAAATGCACACACTCGCTCCGCTTTAGGGGTGCGAAATTTAGTGTGCAGCTTGGGACGGAATTGTCTTTCTACATCCAAATGTGTGCTTTCATCTGAGTCATTTCCTAGTCAGACTGGATGATACCAACAGAAATCTGAATACACACCCAATGGGGTTGTGGCGCACGCGTGCACGGTAGATGACCTGGTTTCGCGATCTGTGCATGCTGGGGTTGTTGGTTGCACGTGAAGTAATCTATGCATAGGTATCACGTGCCAATTGTATTTTCCCCTCAAAGACTAACCTGTATCAGGTAAACAGCAATCAGTTTTTGGGAATTCATTGTCTAAGTTAAGGAATGACAAATGTTTTTGTTTGTTTATTGTGTATACCAATGTACAGACGAATTTCAGGAGGGGAGTCGTGACCATATAGGGGGAAATACAAAAATTAGGATGATGGGTAGCAAGATGGGGTTCGAACTCACGACCTTCTGGCTACTATTTTGATGACCTTGACCACCACCTCTTGTCTGTCTGTGGTGAAAATTCGATTATGCTACTCCGCACATTCTGTTTATGAATCATTAGCTGAGCCTAAACTGTTGAGGTAAGGCACACGATTTTCTTTTCGAATAGCTGAAGTACGCTGACAGTCGCGCTCGATGTAGCACTGGCTATCAATTATGATGCTTAAGATGTAATATGTTGTACTTAATGCATTGTCCACGCGCTAATTCCTCGAAAACAATGATAACCCGGTGCATTTTAACAGTTCAGCCTAGCTTCATTAGTTCGGATATGATATCAATAATCTGTTTAAACTAACGTGGCTAAGGAACTCGGCAAATTAGCATTAGGATCGAACTTGCGGGTATCTGTTTTCACCTTTTCATCTCGGAGGCGGACTGCACTTTCGGTTTCTGTGTTTCGCATTGCTATTATTCAATAGCGATTAATTTCATCATAACGTTTTATGGCAAAAAAAACTTGGCTCATTTTGAATCAGCCTACCGTGAAAACTGATAGTGGTTGTGAATCTCGTTCGTTTATTGGAGAGCCGACACTTACAGCAAAGAAGTACATTAGATCCCAAGAGGGATGACAGTAAAGCTGCATGCAACTGAATTTGGGTGACGATTTCGGGGTTCGAACCTCAGGCATTAGGGCTAGGGCTTGCACTACGCACAGCGACTTCACCTTTTTCGGTAATCTGGAAGTTATCAAGTAACTGTGACTAAATTTATGAATGTACCCCTGGTTTCGTTGCAGTGTCTGGAATATAAATAAGCTTACACGCTTCCAGATGTCGATCAGTTTCAGTTTCTACAACCATTAACTATTCACTTTCGTGCACCGGTTTTGGTTGCTTTCTTTTGACCGCCCATTTGGATATGTCAATACAATGCACTAATGCAAATATCTGAATAGAACTACCTGAAAAACAAGTCCGGTAATGCCGTTTTTTCCACTCTGGTTCGCTACCCAGTCATCTTTCGACATTGTTCCCATATTTATATTTTGATGTGTTTCCTTCAATTTTTTTGTATTTGCCCAAACAGCTAATTTCTAGCACGCGAATCTAATGCTCAGTATCAAGCCAGGTTGGCTGTTTTTCGTTTTGCTCGAACAGATCAGAGCAAAGTGTTTCTGACAAACTTCTAAAGTTACCATCCGATCGACATTATATTCTCACATGTCTGAGTTCAGCTGGTGTCAGACATCACGATACAGTCATCTTTAAAAGGGAAAATATCATGATTTGTTCGAGGTAGCCCAGGTCGAAGCAGGTGAATATTCTTAGGGAATTCACAACCAAAACCCTCGGTTAGCCAAAGCCTGATCCACAAGGTAGCGGGTGTGTGTGTGTGTGTGAAAAGCTATCCATTGGGGTCTAGTGTCCCGTTCATCGGATCATACACCCTTTGGACGGGATCAAACGTCCAAGGTGCCCAATCGATCAGGTGACCACTGCCGCAACCAGGAAGGTGCGTGTTTGGTTCGTATGTTGCTTTTGAGATCGCTTTTTAGCCAGTGGCTCAACCCGAATATAGCCCTGAATGTTGGCTTTCCGCCCTCTCACTTTTATGGTAGACCGTATCCGTTACTGGGAGGCATTAGTGGGGCTTGATCAGCAGGTGCTACATTAGAGACTTCTGCTCGTATAGGAACATTTTGCTAAGTACATTGAAATCCATTGGAAATTTAGGCAACCAAAATTTGTTTATTTCTGTTAACGTGTCTAACGGACAAAGTTTCTACATATCATTATCTACTCCTGTTTTATTGCATCTCACCTCTAATTCTTCTCTGGAATTGCAAGCAGCCGTAAAACTGTTGTGTTTTGTGAGAGCACAGTTTAAATCTTTTTGTTGGGCGTAGTGAATTTCTTATTTTCCGATTATGCAATCGAAAAAGAAACGCTTCTGGCTATGTTTAAGGTAGAGAAGAGATATTAGATAAGTGAGGCATCAGGTCGTTTTTCTATGAATTCTGCGAACAATTTTTGGGAACCCATACTTCACATCAAGCATGAATGTAGAATAAATTATGCGCTTTCATATGTTTAAGCGTTCATAGTTCAACAGTTTGACTATCGCTAGTGTGTTTTGGGACCGTATTACATTAATGCCATACCCACGATTACCTCCCAAATCTGATGGCAGACAGCTTCGCTGTCATTAGGCTCCGTAAATCTATCCCAGTGGGGTCTCATTTAGTCTTTTGGGGTCAACATTACATCTCCGTGACGATGAAGTTGACCACTGCTAATCAGCGCATAAAGGTTTTTGAGAGGTCATATTCACGGCACGTTAGAAAATGAGTTGTTTTTGTGAAATACATTTAAATGAGGCGGCAATATGGTGACCAGGCTTCGAGCAACGAATATCCTCGATCTCAGCACCATAAATCAGCTCATTTCCATGTAGACAAGCCCAAAGTCAGCCTCAAAAAATGTCGAAATTTAACGACCTATGGCGTAGTTGACATTGAGAGCAGTTGATACTCTCCCGCCCCACGAAATTGACCATAAAATCAAACGCGATAGGCATAATTTCGGACTCTAAGAACAAAGTGGAGCTAAAAATATTTACGCCACAAATGCCTAACATGCTTCCAGTTCAGTTCAGTTTGTACAACCTATAACCATGCACTATCGTGCGCCGGTTTTGGTTGCTGTCTTTTGGCTGCCCATT